TTACGTGGATCAGACTCTAATCTGATTATCTTGTAAATGATACACATCTACTTGACTGTACGAAAACGCTAGCACGGAAGATGCGAGGGATAAAACTTTATAACTGTGAACCTTATTTGTTTTCTTGTTGCCTCTTGATCATTTCTCTATTCTGATGGTGCAAGATAATATTTTCTGACAGGCAATGGTTGCCAGAGGTGATCTTGGTGCGGAGTTGCCAATTGAGGAGGTTCCTCTATTGCAGGTTATTTCTGATGCTAGATCTGCACATATAGTTTTATCATTGTCAAGCTCTTATGGTTATGTGAACAAATCAATTTATCAACAAATGTAGGAAGAAATCATCAGGATATGTCGGAGTATGGGAAAAGCAGTGATAGTGGCCACAAATATGCTAGAAAGCATGATAGTACATCCGACTCCTACTCGAGCAGAAGTATCGGATATTGCTATTGCTGTGAGAGAGGGTGCTGATGCAGTTATGCTTTCTGGAGAAACTGCCCACGGAAAGTGAGTCTATATTTCTGCAAGATATATCCTTGGGATTGGGTCTCAGTGCCCACCCACTCAACAAAAGAGCGACTATGTTCAAAACTACAAATAATACCTCTTGGAATTTGTTTCTATATTATAAAGGGGCTAATTATAAACCTACCTATGAGGCTTAGTTTAATCACATGAAAAGTGCTTGTCTTTTGAAATTACAATGACCCTACTCACAAATTTCTTACTAAGTGTTTCCTCATGCGACTAGAAGGGTTGAGAGAGCCCTAAATGAGGTGATCACAAACCTTATTGTAATTTTTCTTTCAAAAGAAGTTGGACTTTCTGGAACTAACCCTTCAACTTTGCATCCTCAATTAGAAAATGGAAGCCCAGAAAACGGGGATTTCTTTAATATCTTAATGGGGTATAATACTACGTCTTGAGTTTTTTCAATTAATTTTGTCAAATCTGATGGATATTCTTGTAAGTATTGCTCTTTGATAGTAGGCCTATGTTCTTTTCACATATTATGTTTTTTTTTTCTGCATATTCGAATTCATTTCGCTTCGTATCAGGTTTCCTCTGAAAGCTGTCAAGGTCATGCACACAGTCTCTTTGCGGACTGAAGACACTATTGTTGGTGCAAAAACTACTTCGAATCTTGGACATGCATTCAAGGTGGGGGTTGTGTCTCTGGAGAATATAGAAACCCCTTCATTTATCTATACACATTCTACTGATTCGCTCTTAAATGTAAACATCTTTGAATTATATGATTGTTTTCCTCTATTGCAGAACCACATGAGCGAGATGTTTGCATACCATGCAACCATGATGTCCAACACGCTTGGAACATCAATTGTTGTCTTCACAAGGACTGGCTTCATGGCCATTCTGTTAAGCCATTTCCGGCCATCTGGAACCATCTTTGCTTTCACAAATGAGTAAGTCATATAAAATACCCTGTATTGATTGAATAGTAAATTATATAGAGTATCAACAAGGTTTCACTCTAATTAAAAAACAAAATGTTCAAAGTTATCTTTGAAATTACAAGAATCTCATTGTGATATGTTTTTCTTTTACGATGCTTGACTTGTTTATTGAGGCATCTCTTGTGAAAATAGCAACCTGAAGGAGGTATTTGCAACTCTTAAAAGGGATAAATCGAAAGATGAGTGGATTTTTTTAATTTTGACTTTGGTTCAAGCAGTCAAGCCTTCATCTCACCTGGTTGATTCCCTACACTTTAGCAAATAACCTGATATTCTTCATCAGAAACAGCAGCATGAATATCTTAAAGAACTGAGTATAATGATTTAAAGGGTCTTTGAATTTTGACAAGTCTGGATGTCAAGCTCCATGATTTTCAGCTTAATCTAATTGTGTAAACAGGAAAAGAGTACAGCAGAGATTGGCACTGTACCAAGGGGTTTGCCCCATTCACATGGAGTTCTCAGCTGATGCTGAGGATACATTTGCCAGCGCATTGGGTTTGTTGCAGGCATGTTCTTCCATCAATGCCCTTTAACTTGATAAATTAGTTTGTACTCGCTAAGCTATTAGCAACAGTAGAAACAAAAAAGATTCATAATAGATATACTGCAGTTTGACTTAAACAACATTAAGATTATTCATCGTCCTTTTTGTGATGCTGCTTGTTTAATAAACACCATCTTTGTTTTGTGAACACTAAACTCCTGGTTAATCACAGGAACAAGGAATGGTGAAAGAAGGCGAGCAGGTTGCTCTTGTTCAAAGTGGCCGGCAACCCATTTGGAGGTCCCAATCAACTCATAATATTCAGGTCAGGAAAGTGTAGAAGGTAAACAATGGAGGACTTTGTGAATTTGTCTTGTGGCAAGCAATCGAGATTGGGCATGTGTTTCATCACCTTATGATAATTAATTTTTAAATTTTTGGATGCAGTAGCTTTGATAATAGAACATATATTGTTGTTTAATTCATAAAAATTAAGAGTAACAACATATAAATAAAACATATACTAAAAATTGTTCTCTTATGGGCGTATCTACTTGTATTTATGTTTTAAAAATAGAGATGGGATATTTTTTATAAAATAATAAACAAAATATGAACTCGTGATCCTAGGCCATAATAATATGGTTTATATCAATATACCATACATAAACATTAGATATAAACAAATATGAACGTAGTGAAAAAGGAAAAATTAAGTTGTAGTTATAAACTGATTAAAAACAAAATCTAAATAAAAGCTTGCAACATCAAATATTTAACCCAAAAAACTTCCCATATGTTTTATAATTAAAGTTAAATCATACATACACTAACGAGTATCAAACATAAACACAGAAAAAAAAAAAATCATGTCATGAGTACATGACATTAATTTCAAATTAACGTCCCCAAAACAAAATTAGTTACTACTCATAGGGTGAGCGAGGATGCTTGGATATAAAAAATTTTAGATTTGTTTGGATTTTTTGATTTGGTTTGGTTAATTTTGAAAAAAGCGATATGGTTAGTTGTTAGTGGGTATATTAAAATAATATTTAAAATAAAATAATTGAAGTTGATTTGATGTAAATGTAGGAGATTGATTGTTTGAAGTGATGGTTAGTTAAAATTATGTGAGTGGATGAATAGTGAATTAAAGTTGATGTGATGTATAAGAATGATTGGTTAATATTATTTAATTATATTGATAATATTGATGAAAGTAAGATTGAATTAAAATTGAGTTAAAAAAATGGTTGAGTTAAAAATGATTGGATTATTTTAGATAAATTTGTATCCAAGAGATTCATCATCACTCTCACTCTCACTCCCAAATGTTGTTTGAACTTCTCATGATATAAAAACATATGAACGTAATTTCTATCTATAGATTAAAATCAAAGTTAAAAAGAGAGAATCCACCCTACTACGCAAACCACCTTTGAAGTTTAGTTCCATTACAACCGTCCCCTCCTCCATTTCAAAAATTCTATGGAGCCATTGGATGGTTTTCTTATGGAGCCATCCACCACTTAATGTATTGACACCTATCCAAAGTATATTTATTGCAGGACACGTGTCAATACACTATTGGTGAATAAGTGTCGATGATTCTATAAACCGAGCCATCCAATGGCTCCATAGCAAAACTGCCTCCATTTATGTTTCAAAACTATTAAAAGGCACCCATCTAATTTAGACTAGATGGACTAATGTAGTTTAGTTTGCAATTATCCCCAACGAAATGGACCGAAAGATTTTACCGCCACCAGATGCTCAGCTAACGTTGGAAGCAAATAACACAAAAAGTTTCTCAGCCTTCTCTTCACAAACTGCACCAATTTCTCCGCGAAATTCACCAATAATCGCCGCACGAGCAAATCCCATTCTCAAAATGGTGAAATCGATTCGTGTCCCTCACCAAAATTTCCCTCTCCGTAACCTTGGAGATGAACTTTATAGCAACATGACAATCCTCACACACACGGAGATTTTTCGTAACCCTAATCGGCGTTTTGTGCCCGGAATTAATGATCGCACACACAATTGCCAGCTTCTCACTATGAACCACCAAGTGATTCTCTTTCTCCTCCTCCTCAACATCATGCAGCGCACCATCTGTTTTCGGAACATAACCCATTTCCCTAATTTTCCCCAATAATATATCCAATTCAGAATAAATCTCCACAGTTTGCTCATGCGATCTATCGCCTGCAAGAAAAGTGTGGACTTTGTTATCGAGCTCGACGTTGCTAACCCCAGGAATTTTCTTAATCCCTCTCTCTCTCATAAGCAAGCGGATAAAATCAACATCCTTCCATCTCCCAGCCTTTGCATAAATATTCGATAAAAGGACGTAATAACCGGATTTTTGCGGAGCCAATTCGAAAAGACGGTCGGCCGCTATAACACCAACATCCAAATTGTTATAAACATGGCAAGCGCTCAGTAAAGCACCCCAAACCCTGTCATTCGGCTCCAAAGGCATTTTCTTGATATGATCATAGGCCTCGTCAACTTGGCCCGCCCGTCCAAGTAGATCGACCATACAAGTATAATGTTCTAACCTAGGAATAACATTAAATACATCCGTCATCAATTTATAATACTTGCGCCCTTCTTCTAACAATCCCGCATGGCTGCATGCGGAAAGAACCGAGACAAACGCTATGGAATCCGGGACAATACCTAAATTTTGCATTTTGGAAAATAATTTAATCGCTTCTTCACCTTTTCCGCTCCTACCATAGGCGGACATCAACGAGGTCCACGAGATGATATCCTTTACACGCATTTCATCAAACACTTTTCTCGCATCATGTAAGGATCCGCACTTTGCATACATGTCGATCAAAGCATTTTCCACGGATAAATTAGGCCGAAGCCTTCTGATATCGACATATTTGTGAATACGCTTTCCCAAAGACACGGCACAAAGATCACCACAGGCTGGAAGAACGCTAGCAAATGTAATCGAATCGGGCTCGAGCCTACTGGCCTCCATTCGCAAATAAAGCTCGACTGCCTCGCCCGACATTGAATTGTTAGCGTACACAGCAATCATCACGTTCCAGGCCACCAATTCCTCCTTAGCCATGTCAGAGAAAATTTTCTCCACGAAATTGACATTCTCTGTAGTTGTGTTCGTGACAGCTGGCGAGAGACTGGCCATCGTGCCTGGGTCGGGCTTCAAGCCCAACGACACCATTTCCTTACACACCTCTAAAGCTTTGTCAAAAAGTCCAGTCTGCGCATAGCCCGCCACCATTGAATTCCAAGAGACGATGTCCTTAAGGGGCATTTCGTCGAACACCTTTCGCGCACAAACCAAATCCCCACATTTGCCGTACATTGAGACCAGCCCGTTCCCAGTAAACAGAGTCAAATCGAGACCGTTCTTTACAGCAGTGCAATGAATTTGAACACCAAGTTTTAAATTGTCCATTGACGAACCAGCTTTGAGAAGGCAGGGCAAGGTGTAGTGATCAGGGTTAATGCCGGAGGCTAGCGTGCTCTTATACATCAGAATTGCATCGCCGTAAAAGTGATTGTTGACGTAGCTTCTGATCATGACATTGCATATGACGTTGTTTCGCTCGGGAATTTCTTTGAACACCTTGCGGGTCATATCGGGTCTGCCGCGGGATGAATAAGCCCGCATTAGTTTGATGGCGAGGGATGTGTCGGAGTGGAAATCGGGATCGCAGATGATCCTCGAGTGCAGCTTTTTGATGGTTTGGATATCTGGGATCTTGTCCAGTGCCTGGATGATGAGAGCCTCAATGTTTTGAGTTGCGGTTAAAATGTGGCGGGAAAGCTTGGCCGTGCCATTAATGGTGCTTTTCATGGATACAAATTTGTGCTGAAAACATGATATTCTTTTTTTGTTTTCCTTTTCTATTTGTAATTATATGAATCTCCAACCGTTAATTTTGATGAAGGAAAAAGTAAAGAGGAAAATGTTTTCTAATCTCCAACCGTTTATTGCTTTTATCTCTCTCCACAAAAATTCCCAAATCCCGTCGGTCGAGACCCTCGTTCTTCTTCTGTTGGTTCCGCCTTCTCTAGCCGGCCGCCGGGCTCTTTGACTGCGGCCAACCAATGGCTGCACTACCCACTCCTTGTGGTGCCGATTTTCGCTCTCTCGAGTCGGCGGGGTTGGCGATGGGCTACGAGAGGTTTTAGTTGTTTCTCCTAGGCGCCTTTCTGGGTTGGTGGTCGTCGATCTACCGAGTGGAGAGGTTGTGGCAGGCGCCGGTGCTTCTGAGGGGATGGGTTGTGGCCCCAACGGCTGGATTGTGGTGGTTGATCGGGGAGAGGAGAGTAAGCTCTTCCCCTTGTTCCCTTTGCCTCTGGTGCGTGGTCGAGAGGACGACCGACGTGTCGAACTCAAATCCGTGGTGTGGGTTGGGCTCGGGGCGGTGGTGGTGTGGTGGGGTTGTGGCTCGGTTTCCTCCGGTTGCGGGTAAGGTCCGTTGCTTTGGTGCGGATTGAGCTCTAGGGTTTAGTTCCAGTTAGGCGCGCAAGTTGCAGTTTCGGGTTCTGGGGCTTGGGGCGAGATCTGGGATGTTTGGGTGATCGACCTTCATTGTTGCTGTCGTGGTTGCTTGGTGTGTTCTTCCGGTTGTGAGAAGGGCTTAGTTTAGTTTTTAGGTTGTGTGTGTGTGTTTGAATTTTTTGGGTGTTTTGTTTTTGTTTTGTGTATTTTGTTTTATCCTCTTTGAAGGATCGTGTTATTCTCCTGTGGGGAGCTTTTATTTGTTTATTTCGTCTTGTAGTGTGTGTTGTGGTGTATAGGCTGTCTTGGGTAGTCATCATATTCCGACTAGTGAGCCGATTGTATTTAGATATTTGTAGTTAATTAATCTATCGTTTCGAAAAAAAAAAAAAAA